TAGCAATTATAACAATACTGATAAATATAATTACGTCAGGAACAGCACTTATGTAAAAATGATGATACTAGGAATGACAGTAATAGTAATAACGATATTAGTAATGATGACTATTGGAATGGTCGAGAGGCACTATCGCAATGGCTGAGCGGCACCATTGCAGTGGCTGAGTGACACTATTTCAATGGCTGAGTAGCTTTATTGCAATGGATGAGTGGCACCAACGGAAGGGCTGAAGTGCCAAGGCGGCATCTGTTAGGGTATGTCTGTCTGGTCTTAATCCAGGCCTTCGTACGGCACAGTAATCGGTAGAGATGCTCGAGTATCTTTGCGTAGTTTTGTTGTGTAGTTTCTTTTCGTGCAGGATTTTTGTTGTTGTTAATGGAGGGTTATATATTTGTCTTTGGAATAACAAAAAAGAAAGAAAGAAAGAAAAAAATACAATTCAATAGATAAAATCCATTGTCATGTTAACTTATTATATATATTAACTAAGGATATGGACTAAACAGAATGACTTAGGATATCTAAAAGTCGCTTGTTCGGATTTGTACATTTTCTTCTAACTTTCTTTTCTAAAGGTGAAGATCACAGCAACATTTTGAAAATAAAAGTCAACTTTCTTTGGAAAATTGTATTGCTCTTGGTGAGTCAAAACAGTGAAGATTACGCATTTGTTTACCATCTTTATTGATTCAAAAGGACCAAAATGCACCAATACATTAAAACAAAACTAAGTAATTTCTCCTCGATCTTGAGGCGAGAACTCAAAAGGAAAATGCGCCGCCCAACCTGAAAGTCTGGTCAGAATGGCTTCCGAAGGGCCTGTTGGGAAAAGAAAAGGCTTGTCTTAATGAAAAAATAATTAATGTAGATTTTTCAGGGTATTGCCGAAAAAGATCATTTTCATGGGCATTATAATTACACTGGAAAAGGAAGACGAGGACTCCTAAAAAGTACCACGCACTAACCCGAAATCAGAATTCCTGTGGTGTCCGGAGACGGTGAGGGAAGATCTGTCGTTGATGTTGTAGCGGTAACCCAAGTTGGCGTCTGTGTCCGTGCGTGAGAACAATCTAGCCGAGAGAGAATAATTACATTAGCGGATTTAAAAGTATACCGATTGCTATTCATCACTTAATGCATGCCCTAATAAACAGAACATCGTATACAATGGTGCTCGATTATTCAAGTAACCACGTGAGATAAAAAAAAAAAAAAAAAAAAAAAAAAAAAAAAAAAAAAAAAAAAAAAAAAAAAAAAAAAAAAAAAAAAAAAAAAAAAAAAAAAAAAAAAAAAAAAAAAAAAAAAAAAAAAAAAAAAAAAAAAAAAAAAAAAAAAAAAAAAAAAAAAAAAAAAAAAAAAAAAAAAAAAAAAAAAAAAAAAAAAAAAAAAAAAAAAAAAAAAAAAAAAAAAAAAAAAAAAAAAAAAAAAAAAAAAAAAAAAAAAAAAAAAAAAAAAAAAAAAAAAAAAAAAAAAAAAAAAAAAAAAAAAAAAAAAAAAAAAAAAAAAAAAAAAAAAAAAAAAAAAAAAAAAAAAAAAAAAAAAAAAAAAAAAAAAAAAAAAAAAAAAAAAAAAAAAAAAAAAAAAAAAAAAAAAAAAAAAAAAAAAAAAAAAAAAAAAAAAAAAAAAAAAAAAAAAAAAAAAAAAAAAAAAAAAAAAAAAAAAAAAAAAAAAAAAAAAAAAAAAAAAAAAAAAATATAGTGCTCATAATCGAGCATTAGCATACCCGGGAGTGTTAGTGTTGCTGCGAGAGATGCCGCCGAACAGTGAGTGCGGTCATTGCAGTGGCTGAGTGACACTATTTCAATGGCTGAGTAGCTTTATTGCAATGGATGAGTGGCACCAACGGAAGGGCTGAAGTGCCAAGGCGGCATCTGTTAGGGTATGTCTGTCTGGTCTTAATCCAGGCCTTCGTACGGCACAGTAATCGGTAGAGATGCTCGAGTATCTTTGCGTAGTTTTGTTGTGTAGTTTCTTTTCGTGCAGGATTTTTGTTGTTGTTAATGGAGGGTTATATATTTGTCTTTGGAATGACAAAAAAGAAAGAAAGAAAGAAAAAAATACAATTCAATAGATAAAATCCATTGTCATGTTAACTTATTATATATATCAACTAAGGATATGGACTAAACAGAATGACTTAGGATATCTAAAAGTCGCTTGTTCGGATTTGTACATTTTCTTCTAACTTTCTTTTCTAAAGGTGAAGATCACAGCAACATTTTGAAAATAAAAGTAAACTTTCTTTGGAAAATTGTATTGCTCTTGGTGAGTCAAAACAGTGAAGATTACGCATTTGTTTACCATCTTTATTGATTCAAAAGGACCAAAATGCACCAATACATTAAAACAAAACTAAGTAATTTCTCCTCGATCTTGAGGCGAGAACTCAAAAGGAAAATGCGCCGCCCAACCTGAAAGTCTGGTCAGAATGGCTTCCGAAGGGCCTGTTGGGAAAAGAAAAGGCTTGTCTTAATAAAAAAAATAATTAATGTAG